ATATATATATATTATATATATATATATATATATATATATATACAACAGCCCCTACATCACCACATGTTGTTTGGGAGGATTTCAAGGAAAGTCCTCTTCACTCATCAAAAAACCAACTCCAGCATATTCAGTTGTCAGACACGACTGGAACTTCAAATGTGACTGGCTTCTATGGTCAGAAGAAACTAAAAATGAGCTTTTTTTGCAGCAAACACACCAGATGGGTTTGGTGCAAACAGGGATAAAACGTACCCCATGTCCACGGTTAAATATACTGCTGGATCTTTAATGTTGTGGGCCTATGTTTCTTCCAGAGGTCCTGGACATCTTGTTCAGATACATGGCATCATGAATTCTATCAAATAGCAACAGATAAAAAAATTAAACCTGACTGCCTCTGTTAGAAATCGTATAATGGACCATGGTTGGATCTTCCATCAGGACAATGATCCAAAACGAACATCAGAATCAACACAAAAATGTGTCACTTAGCACAAAATAAAGCTTCTGCCATGGCCATCCCAGTTCCCTGACCTGAACCCTATAGAAAATGAGTGGGGTGAACTAAAGAGAAGAAGCACCATCATGGAGCTGGGAATCTGAAGGATCTGGAGTGATTCTGTGTGAAGGAATGGTCTCTGATCTCTTGTCAGGTGTTCTAAAACAACATATAGATGCTGTGAACGAGATCGGTCCACTGGTTAGTCAATTTATCCCGTCTCATAGCGCAACGTCACATGACTTTCTCAATGCGCATGGTGGAATTTATTCGGTAAATGTGTTTCCATCGTAGTTTATGCACATTTTTTCTTATCGGATAAAAAGTGCGCATGTGTGTTATGAGCATTTTTAGAATTAATGTTTAAGTTTTTTTTATGCAATATTCCATCATGCTGTCTGTCTGGAGCGGTGGTGACCAACCTTCGGCGGCTGCTCATCAGAGCTGAAGAAGACTTCATCAAGAGGAGCGGAGGAGACGTCTGTCATGGAGCTGCTGTGATGAAGCTCTCGACTGGGACACACGCTCACATTCTGAAACACACACAGCTTTCACTACGCTAACCGTGCTGCTCTGTGTCATTATCCAGACACTGCAGCTGGATTTGAAAAAACTGAAAAAGTGATAGAAAGCAAATCTAGCTGGAGATGTGAGCTGTGCTCGTACCGGTGGTTTGGCCGCTCTCTGCAGCGCTGGAGTACACGGACTGGAGCTGCTCCCTGATCCCAGACGAGACTGAACATGAGGAATTCTCACCGCCATACTGTTCAGATTCACAAGATGAGCCTCCAGCGACTCCAGTTTACCTGCCAGCTGAAGGCCAGAGTTTCACATCATCATCATCATCATCATCATCAGAGCTACTCAGTTGTGCGCATACGTTTTTTATGCACATTTTTAGAATGTATGCGCATCTTGGCGTTTCCATCCAGTGTTTTTTTTATGTGATAATCTAAAATGCCCATAAAAATAGGTGGATGAAAACATAGCTATTGATTATGTTAGATTTAATTAGACCTAAATTGTATCTAACCTTTGTGGTCAGTGCATGGTTGACATACCTTTGGCAATCTCTGTAATGCTGAGTGTGTGTTTGTGTTGGTTTGAGGGGTGATATGCTTTAGAGGTTTGGGGGTTTTCAGGTAAAGCTCTTGGTAGGAACCAGAGAGGCAAAGCAGCAAGAAGAGTCAACAGCCCAGCCACCACATAAACCAGCCACCAGGCCCCAACCCAGCGAGAGTCCTGAGGGGTGATGGTCACACTCTCTGATAATGAGAAGAAAATATTCAAATAAACAACATATCTGTTATATATATCACACCTGTATCCAATCACACCTGCTATCAGTTAGTGTCAGATCTCTGATTAAAGAACACATGAACCTCTCTGCTCTTAGTAGAGTTACTTACCTCCTGTTCATCTCAGACTTCCTTCTTTGAAAAATACTCTTTATCTTCATCTGTTGTCTTCATGTGTGGCTCCCATACTGGTTGTCCTTAAATTCAATATGTTCTTTCAGGTTAAACTCTTTTGTTATCATACATACCTGTTCACTGTCCATAACTTGCAATCAAGTAATACACCCAACTGCACTTGAGTTAACCATCAAACTGTGTGCGGTGTCTACCTGAAAGGAGACCAAGCCTTTTTCATTAAGCCAGCGGGATTTAAAAAATACATTTCCTCCATCTCAACGACAGATAGAGACCTGATCTTCGTCCTGGCCATCTCTTTCTCTGAGACCAATCATCCTTCCTTCTGTTCTGCCAGTGAGGTCTTCCCTAAGTCCCTTTTTCTAATCATACAGTAGATGCCACTCGTGGGCTATTCTTTCTGGTAACAGGAGGTTCCATTGAACCTTTTGTTTCGGCCACAAAGACCCAACCTGAAAACTCCTTCACTATTCCACCAGCTCCTCCATGGCATTTTCATCCATCAACTCCTCAAGGGTCCTTCTTTTCATTGGCTCTCTTTGGGTCACTCTTCCATCTGGTTTCACCAGGTTTCCTCCTTGCACTGGTTCCATCCAGACTCCTAGTCCCACCAGCTCCACAATGGCCTCTTGTGTTCGACTTCCCTAATTCAGTTTCTGCTGACTCCCCAGGGAATCCTTTTTTTCCCAGAGCTACCAGAGCAGTCTACTCTCCTGTTCAAATTCTACCAAGTCTCCTCTTCCATTGCCCACTCAGCCAAATTCTTTGAATCCTCCTATTCAGATTGCCTATCCTGGTTTGATTGCTCCACTGGGCTTTCCTAAGCCACATGCTTCACTGGCTCCCCTGAGGCCTCTTGCTCTACCAGCTCCCCATGGCCTTCTGTTCCACCATGGTGGTCTCCTGTTCCACTGTGATGGTCCCCTGCTCCATCAGCTCTGCCATGCTGGTTTCCTGCTCCACCGGCACAAAACAGTGTGGTCCCCTGGTCCAGAGCCAACCGAACCTCTGACCCTACCATTATATGCTATATTCATATACCATGGTATTTACATGGTACTCCAAGGTACGTTAAAGAGTAAGTACTACTGTGGTACATGTCAAAATAAAAATATGAAAAAAGAGTCCAGCACCACTTGTGATGAAGGGAACTTTAATAATTAAAAAAATAACATAATGTGTTTAATGTGTTTCGGCCTAAGAGCCTTCCTCAGGGCATTCAATACACATTTAAACATTCAAAAACACATCTTCATATTGGATTACTCATTCACAAATTAGCAACAGCTGACAGGCTTCACTCAAGAACCTTTTAAATTCCAAAAAAGAAAAAAGAGAAAATTTGATGGTTACATTCACAAAAATGTCTTGCAACAGGACTCTTTATATCCTTTCTATTTATTGCACTTCTGTGTTCTGTTATCCTTTCCTTTAATGAACGGTATGTTTCACCAGCATAAATTTTGTCACATGGACATTGAATTATATAAATCACATTATTTGTCTTACATGTTATAAAACTCTTGATATGGCTCGCAATTGCTCTTAGGCTGAAACACATTGGTATTTTTTAATTATTAAAGTTCCCTTCATCACAAGTGCTGCTGGACTTTTTTTTCATCTTTTTGTACAGTTTCTGTACTGTTTCCACGCACCT